TCTCCAAAAAAAAAAAAAAAAAAAAAAAAGCAAGATGTTAGCAAAACAAACAAAACCCGCCCTTTTAAATAAGAGGGTTTGATACCTTTTCCTTCTATTCTTCTAACTCCCATGCCTTCAACCCGACTTTTTTTAAACTTGCTATAGGATGAACATGCTTGCCAGGAAGAGCAAGAGAGAAAGAGAAAGTAAGAAAACATCCCTAGGGTGAATGGTATCTCACAATCCCTTCTCTCAGAACTTTGAATATGCACATACACATGCCTGGCATGTTTCTCAAGCCACCAGGTCTGGGACTTAAACCATGAGTTGGACATGTGAGATCTAGCCTACACAATTATGCCACCAGATGGCCCCACACCTACCCTTTTAAATCTAGGAATAAATAACATGCACCATAAACAAGTATAAGACAAATTTAAACCCCATTTGGAATTACTATGTTTAACTTTTTTAATAGGAAAGGTTTGTCTAGTTAGCAAGCAACTTGACTTAGATGATAGCACATTTATTTCTTGATAGTTTAATCATTTGTTTAAATGTTTCTCTTCTTCTCAATTCCAAAAATTATAACCGAACTACTGAAATCTAATTAAGTATCTTCTTTGATTTCAATGTACCCCTGAAAAATTCACATATTGAAATTTGGTGAGCCATTGTAATGGTGTTGAGAGGGTGAAAACTTAATCTAGTTTTGGAATTAAGAGGTGAAGCCTTTGGGGGGAACTCGGAATTCAGGTCATCAGGGTAAGGCCCTCACGACCAAATCCTATGGGGTTTACCCACAGACAAAATGAGACAGAAACATGGGCACATGTTCTGCTCTGCTCAAGCTCTTGTTCTTAGATGTGATATGCCCACCACTATTGTCTATCAACAAGAAGACCCTCACCAGATGCAGCCAGCCCCTTGACCTTGGACCTCCAAAACCGTGGGCTAAATAAACGACCATTCTTATAAGTTCAGGTATTGCTGTTATTTGCAACACTACACACTAAAACAGTGTATTACCACCTCATTGCTGACGTCTCCCCATTCATAATAATCTCAGCAATTAGTACATCCTCAAGGAGGAGGAACTCATTCATAATGTTTTTTCGTCTCCTCTAAATCCTTAGCAAAATCGTTCTAAATAGTTGTACGCACTTAAAAACAGTAATTCTATCAATAAGGATATAGTGTTAAAATTTTCATAACTCATTACAGATTACAAAATGTCAGGAAGGAAACACATTTTTACAGTATTTGCTTTTTTACCTAAATGAAGTCTTTTTCTGCCTTTGTGATGTGGAATGAGAACTGCTTTTAAGTCTAAATCTGGAACAATCATAGGTTCTAATCTATATGCCACTGGATCAAGCTGTAAACAGAAGAATTGAACATTTATGAAAAGTTGTTTTATTTGGAGTTATTTATCTGTGCAGGGTAAGAAAATATAACTGGCAAACTAGAGACTGATTTTTTTTTTCCACATTTTATTCTAATACTGGTAATTATAAGATTTTCAAGTCTGCGTGTAAAATTACATTGCAAGCAAAGCAATAAAATTACTTCCTTGAACAAAGGCTTTTTTGTTAGGAAAGTTTATTGGAAAGTACCAGATTCTATCTCTTAGGACAAATAGCTAAGTCATACAAAATCAAGATTGATATTAATTCCCAAAAAACAAGAACCTGACAATCTATTAGGCTATAAATGAAAGGTTCTTCATCTTCTTCAAAATAGGAAGTAAATTCAGTTCACTCACCGGATGATAAATATTGAAGAATCCTTTACAGGTAGGAAGCTTATAGTTCTCATCTATCCTATCCACTCCTCGAATAGTGAGAAACATACCAATTGGAGATCCCAAGGCAAAGAAAATCTCTGGTTCAAAGTCTAATGAGTTGTAAACTACAGAAACCTAAGAAAGAATTGAATAACAATGAAAGATGATTTTTTTTTTTAAATTTTTGCCAGAGGGCACATGCATGCACTGGAAAGGGACAGAGATAGATCGTGAGAGAGAAAGTGGGAAATCTCTCCCCTGGGAGGATAGTCATGCCATAATCCTTTCTCTTTCACTCTCCTCATGAACACACATGCCTAGTGTGATTTTTAAGCTGCCAGGTCTGGGGCTCAAACAGCAGTTGATCATGTGGGAAACCAGCACTTTAACCACTATACTGTTTGCTGGCCCCAAAAAACAATCATTCTAATGTCGCATAATACAAACTTGTTTCAAAATTCTTGGACTTGTACTTACTTAAAAGCATTACAGGGACTGGTAGGTGGTGTGGTGCTTGAGGTGCTGGACTCCCAAATGGCCAACTACTGTTCAAGCCCTGGGCCTGTGGCTTGCTTTTTTCCTTTCCCCTTCTCTCCTCACATTCTTAAAAATAATAATATAGTACTTACAGTCATTATATAGCATAATATACGAAGTATATAATAACTATATTTACTATGGCTATATATTGTAGTTAAAATTACAGACTCCAGAGGAGCCAGCAGGTGGCATGGTGGTTAATGGCACTGGACTCCCACGTGGCCGACCATGGTTTGAGTCCCAGACCTGGCGGCTTGCTTTCCTACTTTCCTTCTCTCTCTCTCTCACTCTGTCCCTCTCTTGTCAAATAAATTTTTAAAAATAAAAATAAAAATTACAGACTCCAGAATCAAAGTGCCTGAATTTGTTTGTTTTTTAAGAATTATTTTATTTAACTTTATTTATTTATTTTTTTTTTTTTAATTTGTTCACAATTATTTTATTTAACTTTATTTATTTATTTATTTTTTCTAATTTGTTCAGAGAGGCACAGATAGAAAGAGAGAATGTGAGAAAGCAAGTCCCTCGGTCCAGGACTTGAACTACAGTCAACCATGTGGAGGTCTAGTGCCCTTAACCACCACTCCACCTACCAGCCCCAAACTGGCTCCACTCCTTCCTCACTCTGTAACCCCAGGCAAGTTTTCTAACCTTTGTTTCCTCTGCCTCAATTTCCTCATGTATAAAATGGGAACTGTAACGATGCCAAACTCACAGTGTGGTTGAAAAATAATTGCATCTACATACAGTGCTAAGTGCAAAGCTTGGCACAGCTTAAGCATTCAGTAAATATTACTTTAATTATAACTACCATCCTCTCTATTTAGGGCAAATTTGTTTTTTTTTTTTTTTAAGGGATATTTTTGCTACAGGGAGCATGCACTCACTGGAGACAAAGAAACAGAAAGCAAAAAAATACTCCGTAGGGGAGAGGTCATGGTACAATCTCCTCTCCATTCTCCTCTTGGAATTTTGGGCATATACGCCCACACGACCAGCATGAATTTTAAGCTGCCGAGTCCAGGACTCGAACCGCAGTCAACTACGTAGGAATCCAACCACAATATAACTGTGATGAAACCATTATGCCATCTGCTGGTCCCAAGGGTGTTTCTTTTTTATAAGAAAAATAATTCGTTCCAGAACCTACATGGCCTAATAGTCATGTCACTGGGCTACCACGTAGACGACTGCGGTTCAAGTCCCAGACCCAGTAGCTTAAAACTTGCCAGGCGTGAGCTCATGCATACCCAAAATCCCGAGAGGAGATTAAAGGAGAAGGGACTGTAGTGTGGCCATCCCCCTTTGGGGGTGATTTTCTTCTCTGTCTCTCTCTCTCTCTGTGTCTCCAGCGAGCACACGCATCCTACTATAGCAAAAATCTCTCTCAAAAAGAAAAATCATTTATTCCAAAGGAGTCCTTGTCTTAGGTAGCCTTCCTTAAGAGAAATCACTGACATCTATGCAGTGCTTATAGTTTTCAAAGCTCTTTTATTTGTTCTCGGTGGCAAAATGTGTGTCTTTGTCATTTTATTATTCTGAGAACTTGATAGAGATCCACTGAAAGAGGGAGGAAGAGGGAGGTAAGGATCAGATGGCATAATGGTTGTGTCACTAAGACTCCCATGTCGTTGACCGTGGTTCGAGTCCCGTACTAGGCAGCTTAAACTCTCACTGGGTTCATGTGGGTGTGTGCCCAAGATCCCAAGAGGAAAATGGAGAAGGGACTGCAGCGTGGCCATCACCCGTGGGGTGTGATTTCTTGCTTTCTGTCTCTCTGTCTCTCCAGTGAGCACAGATGCCCTATAGCAAAAATATCTCTTAAAAAATAAAGAAAGGAGGAGGAGGTAAGGCAAGAACCACCATGTCCACTTCTCAGGTAAAGACAGTGAAGTTCAGATATAGGACATGACTTAACCAAGAACCCACAGTCAGTGAGAAGCAGAATGAGAACTTAGATCCATGACTTCTATTGTAGCTCCAAATCCAATGCTCTTTCCACACTACACTGCCCCTATAACAAAGTCTAGATTTCACATGCCTTGGGGTGCCCTTATATTTGAAAATTCATTAGTTCTGCTCAAAAAAAAAAAAAAACAAAAAAAATTACATAAAAAAAAAAAAAAAAACATTTAAAAGCAAAACTGAAAGTGGCTAATAGCCTTAATGTATAAAGATTTCTTAAATATCAATAACAAAAACAAATAGAAAACAAGTAAAACCAGCACTTCATAACAGAAAAAGGCCTAAAAACCTCTGAAAAAATTATCTAACCTCCTGGTACTCAAATAAACAGTGTGATGATAATTTCCCTCAAAGCTTATCAGAAACATCAATGAAATACCAAAAATAAAGAAAAATAGATTTCTTTTTATATAAAAAGTTATGCAGGGGCCAGCTGGTAGCATGGTGGTGAGGGCAGCTGGACCCCACATGGTGATTTCTTGCTTTCTGTCTGTCTTTCTTTGTCTTTCTGGCAAGCACACATGCCCTATAACAAAAACCTCTCCAAAAGGAAAAAAAAAACAAAACTGAAATAAAGACAATTTTAAAAGTTAGATTACATGTTTTGGAGTCAATCCCTTTTTTTAAAAAAAGAGGTTTTTCCTATAGGGCATGTGTGCTCACCAGTAAGACAGAGAGAGATAGAGAGCTAGAAAGTGAGAAATCAACCCCCAGGGGGGATGGCCATGCTGCAATCCCTTCACCTCCACTCTCCTCTCGGGATCTTGAGCACACACGCACACGCACCCGGCTTGAGTTTAAGCCACCGGGTACAGGACTAGAACCACAGTCAGCTACATGGGAGTCCAGAGATATATCCGTTACACCAACCACGGTCCCTCAATCCCTTATTTTTATTTTTTTTTGGAGAGGTTTTTCACTATAGGGCGCGTGCGCTCGCCAGACAGAGAGAGACATAGAGACAGAAAGTGAGAAATCACCCCCCAGTGGGGATGGTCACGCCGCAATCCCTTCTCCTCCATTCTCCTCTTGGGATTTTGGGCACGCACGCACATGTGCCCGGCGTGAGTTTTAAGCCACCGGGTCTGGGATGCGAACCACGGTCGACTACATGGGAGTCCAGTGACATAGCCATTACGCCAACTGCTGGTTCCCTCAATCCCTTATTTTTGACATTACAAAAAAAGTATAAGATTTTTAATAAGAGGAAATCTGACTTTTCCACAAACCTGAAATAAATGTTAAATAAATATTTAAAGAATTTAAAGCCAACCCAAATGATAAGAGATATGTGATACTGGGCCAATCCCACTGCATAGTGGTTAGTCACTGTGCAGAGGAAGTCGGATCCCACTTGGCTGACTAGAGTTTCAATCCTAGCCCTATGGTCTTCATATCAGGCTTGTACACACATGCTCAAGATCCTAACAGAATAAAGAATGTAGGAAAAAGCATTAAGGTATGACCAGACCCTGAAGAGGAATGTTTTCCCTCTCTCTCTAGTGCACACACACACATGCTCTCTACCATAAATTTTAAAAATTACAAAGATGCATTATTTTAACATAAAATAAGTAGCCCTAATCAATATGTACACTCACCTGTCCTGTGCCCACTTCAAAAGACTCATAATCAACACGCACAGAAGAAACATAAGCACCAACTGGAAGTTTCCTCTTTGACTCATTAGCGTCTGAGGGGAGAGAAGCCACTTCTTTAGTTTTCTGAGCACTTTCTTCTTGTCCTTTTGTTGAAGTAGCCATTGCTGCTTTCTTTTCTGAAGCTATTTTTTTCTGTTCCTATGAAACATCAAAATTTCACAACAATCTTGAGGAAAAGTTTCGTTCTCAGCTATCACTATAAAACAAGCAATCTCAATGCTAAGGAAAGATTACTCATTTCTCAGGCATAATAATGGCATTATGGTTATTAGAAAAATGTCCTTTTTAGAAATCAAATTTTTTTTTTATGAAGAGAGATTTTTACTATAGGGCACGTGCACTCACCAAAGAGACAGAAACAGGCAGAAAGCAAGAAATCATCCCCCCAGGGGGGATGGCCACACCACAATCCCTTCTCCTCCATTCTCCTCTCAGGATTTTAGGCACACACGAACATGCACCCAGTGTGAATTTGAAGCTGCCAGATCCAGGACTCAAACTGCGGTCAACTATGTGGGAGTTCAGTGACATAACCATTACACCATCTACTGGTCCTACCATATTAAATATTTAGGGAAGGAATACCATGATGTCTATCATTTAAAAATCTTAAGAAAAAAAGACTAAGAAATAAAATGATGGTTACAATTAAATCTAAGTATTAGTCATCGTTAATCTCTCAAAACCATTAGTAAGAATAAAAGAATCCAAATATAAATGAGTACATACTGTTGATTCCACATATGAAGTTCTAACAGAAAAACTATTGTGGAGTGAAATAAATCAGAATGGTAGTTGTATAATGGAATGAGTTAACTAGAAGGAATGAGGGAGCTATCTGAGAGATAGAAATGTTCTTTTTCTTGTTTCAGGCAATGATTACACAGATGCATACAACTGTCAACAATGCTTACCCCAAACACTTAAGATTTATGCATTTCCACACACACACACACACAAAAAAGACCAGCTTTTATTATCTTCTAAATGGGACAAAAACCATTCACACTGGTTTGGAATCATGTCAGGGGAACCAAAACAATTGCCACAGGGAGCTTGTCTACTCCACACAAGCATGCCTATCTCAGTGGTCCATGTTCCCTAGGCTGTGACTGACTATGTGTTAGTCTCTGTTTAAATGACTATTGACTGCCTTGGAGTCCGACCCAGTAGGGCCCCAGGATCTGTTTTGAGCCTTTGACCTTTTGAGCACAGTTTTGGTCAGCTCAGCACGTTGGCAAGGCTGCTGCTATACGTCCCCCCCTTCCCCTGACCTATGAGCAAAACTCGAGTCAACTCAGCATGTTGGCAAGGCCGCTTGTTGTATGCTCCAGAGACTGCAGTAGCCTTGCTGGGAAGCAACCCCCCCTCTGACTCTCTGATATACTACTATAAAAAAAAATTACATAGCTCTCTTATACATCCTGAGTATATAATAAGATTTCCCAAAAGTCCCCCGACCACTCCCCTTTGCCCTGACCACCTACTGTTAATTACAATGCTTCATCCCTGCAGTCACAATAGAGGGTGTGCTGAAGTCACAACTAAGCAGAAATCTTCTTGACCTTT